CCCGGTAGAATTCGTCCTTGACCGAGTCAGTCAGTTGGAGCATACACTGAGATCACAAACAAGTTGTGTCTCTCTTCGCGGTGCCTGTTGATTCTACATGAACCCCGAAGCCGAACTGCACATAGTCGGCTGTTAATCGGGAACCAGTCCAGTAGTGCCGCCTCGACCTTGCCACTTAGTGCTATACCTATGCCAGCCAAACCCGCTGAGGGTGCTTCTGGATCTCCAGAAAGACGCAGGTGATATCTGGCTTCGTGGTCAGTGGGGGATGTCAATGTAAGCACGGTGCTGGGATCTTGCAATCGGGTTTCTGAAAGACAGCAGACATCAATGTCTAGGGAATCTAGGGTGCGCGCTAGACCGGCTTGCTTTCCAATCTGCATGAGTGTCCGAACATTGAAGCACGCCAGACGGAACGAGGATCGAGGACGAAGGAAAGCCATAAGTTGAACTCCTTGGTCTTAGGCGCAATCGGAATCGCAGCCAGATTGTTGAACACATGACTCGGGTAACGGAAAGTGAGGGTTGTTAACAAACAAACAATGGGCGTGTGATGAAGTAGCGTGAAAGTGACTAGCAGAAACTGTAGCTGATGAGCACGTTGTAATATAGTCCATGGTTTTGTGAGAGGGCGTGATACTACCCGGTTGCCCAAGCCGAAGTGGTGAGTTGACTTAGGGGACTCCACCCCGAGCCTTTGGCTAAATAACCTACCCGCAAGGCAGCAGGGCGAATTTAGGGAATCGCGCCCATTGGGAGGTGTTGACTGAATGTTCAGTTCATGCGTCTTTGTTTGCTAGATTACCAAACAGAGGTCCAATACTCCCCATGAAGTCAGCGCACCTGCTGGACTACAATATCCCACCGAGGTGGAACACTGTCGCCGAACACTTTGCTGGAACGGGTTACACCCGAACCACCCAGCTGGCACCACGAGGCGGTAGTTCGGCAAGCCAGCCACTGACAATTGATGGACCAGTTCGCCGTGATATTGTTGAACTGCAGATTGCGAGTTCAAGTTACAGGTAAGAAAGACGCTTCTTTGAAGCAGCAAGAATGAGCGCCATGCTTGCGCACACTAGAGCATGGCCGGAATCCAGGCACGTGCTCCAAATTGACCGACAGTCCTGGACTGATATGCGCTATTTGTGGCTAATAGCAATATGGTCAATCTGAGCCCAGGTTATCGAGGAATTCGGTGAGCGTTTGTATTGGAAAGCGGTGCCACTAACGGAAAGATTTTGGTCGGCACACAGATGCAGGTATCGATCACTATTGTCTCTTCGGCCGAAGCGGCCTCCCAGGTATTGTTCAGCGTCTGAAAGACGACTCATTTGACCATTCAAGTCACCAGCATCAATCACGATGTCGATATTCTTCGCCATGTGACGAACAAATGAGATTTTGCGATGGAAACCTTTGATGCCCTCCGAGCAGCATAAACGGTGGCACTGAAAGGGCACCTTGTCTTCAGACGACGCTTATTGACTCCACTATAGGTTCGAAGTCGAATAGCGCACAAGCGACTGCTCACCAACATCCAGTCGAGTAGATTGCTCTCAGCATATTTGCTGAGGGCGATACCAACACCGTAAATAACTTGAGACATTGACTCAGTATCACAGTAGACGGGAAGATCATAGTCTTCATCAGTAGATTCAAAACTAGCAAGTCGAAGATTTGTCACAACGCCGTTATCTTAAATACGTGTTTCGGTGTGGACGGAAGAATAGGAGAGGCGGTCAAGCGATTACTTGGTCGAGAGGAATGATGACCCTTAGTTCTAAGCTGGTCTCGGTTGGAGCATCTCGGCTCTCTGGTTGGGGTCCGAAAGCTCATAAACACCTTTGGCTTAATACACTTGCTGACATGTCTAGGAACCGATTTCAGTGGCGTTGGTGCTGTGCCTTTCTTTGTCCCACCTCATCCCTCTTAGCCTTCCCTCCAACCACGACCTCATTACGTAACATAATATACTTTTGCATAATAAATTGTTTTTGCTGCATAGTAGCCGGCTGGTAGCTTTCCGGAACGTTGCCCATCCCTTACCGGTGGCTCAGCCGACATGCATCTGTTTCATGTTTGCGTGCCTCAGTGATCTATTGAACTGTGCTGGGTGGTGCTTTTCGCATTTTCAGACTCACCCATACCAGCTTGGCCGATGGCTAGAGGGCAGACAAGCTCAATCTCTTGGTGCTCCAATTTGGGGGTTGGAGTGAGGCTGACCTCGTATTCCTTAGAACGGACTCCTTTTAGTCCACTACCAGCCCGCTACTTCGGTTGAGAACCCTAATCGTTCTGTCTAGGCCTGGGCAAAGTGATTTTATTCTACCCGCGCGATACAACTGCATTCCTCTCCACGTGACTTCTTGATGCTTTAGCCGCCGCAGAAGATAATAAACGGCCCCCTATCTGCTGCATCGAGCAGAGTAAATAGGGGTTTCCATGGTACTGCTCAAGCTTTCCCATCTTCTTATTCCTCTTCTTACGATTTTTCACCTTTATTGTCCCGTTCCACCTTCGCGTTTACCCTCCTCCCCCTTTTAACCCCTCCCTCATCTTGCTTTATTACGCGTATAGCTTCTAGTTTCAAATTACATGCAAAAGCGGAGCATCACTCCTGTCATGACACCAAGCCCAGTTCATCAACTTCTATTTGGAGCCATCGATCCTCCCTCAGACTGGCATGCCTCAACGTACGCACATTGTTACAAGTCGGTCAACAGGCAGCACTTGCCCGAACATTAGTGATCCTTTCAATCGATATCTGCTGCTTATCGGAAAGCTGCCTGCAAGACTCAAGCTCTGTGCTTGCTTTGCGATCCTCTTCAAGTGACACTGGCACTTCTTTCTCATTGCGCCAATCGGGAGACGATGCAGCAGCAGAATGCCTGGTAGGGAAACTATATGTGACGAGAGTGGACAGCCTATTCACAACTTGTCAAAGTGCTTGGAGCTTTGGGCTGAGCACTTCAGAAGCCAGAATCGTCTGATTTCTCGCCGGCCGCTAATCACCCTGCTCCCTGGGCTCCCTTCAGACCCGCCTCGCTCAGAAGTCAAATGGGAGATCGGACTGCTGAAGTTGAATAAGGCCGCTTCAAATTCAAGGGACCTGCTCTTGATGATTCATACTAGTTACTAGTGAAACTGTAGCAGCAGGAAACTGTCCCGATCTTTAAGGGCGACTCACGTTCGGAATGCGGCAACCATAAAGGAATCAGCCTGATCTCCATCGCCTCTAACTTGCTTGCTCTGTCATCCTTTACAGATTGACTGGCACCCGTAAAAGTCTGATTCGTGGGGAGAAAGCCGGGTTTCGTCGAGGTCGAGGCTGCATCGACAACGTCTTCACCTTGCGTCAATTGTTGGAGCACCGTCACATAATATTAGCGGCTCACCGTGCTTGTGTTCCTTCACCTCGAAGGTGCCTTCGGTTGACCGATGTGCCCTATGGGAACGCCTACTCAAAAACGTGTACCCGCGAAATAGGTGAACATTATCCGAGCGCTCTACGCGCATAGTACGGGTATAGTGAGGGCGTACGGCAAGCTGTCGCCGCCCTTCAATATCTCCAGCGGTGTAAGACAAGGATGCCTGCTGCCACCTTTCCTCTTCAGTTTCGCCATTGACGAAGTCATGTAAACAGCGTTCGCTGGACACAACCTAGGTGTGGAGCTACTTCCTGGTGAGCGACTTCTTGACTTGGAGGATGCTGTGACAGCTCACAAATGTGCCAAGCTGCACTGTACAGATTAGCCCTGGTTGTCAGTCGTGTCGGGTTTTGCTTTGCACCTTCAAAATGCGAAGCTTTTTTCCAGGATTGGGAGGGACCGCCTCCTGCGCTGACCCATGGTGGGGATCAGCTATAAATCGTTCAAAAATTCAATTATCTGGGCAGTTGTATCAGCGCGGACCGCTTAGAAAAGTTCGATGCGGTTTTGCTAATCTTCGCCACTAATGGCTCCGGTGCGACCTCACTCTCGCTCTGAAGAGTAGAGTGTACAATGCAGCGGTACGTTCGAACCTACTGTACGGTTGTGAAACTTGGCCCTTTAGATCAGTGAATATAAAGTAGCTACTTACCTTCGAGCACCGGTGCCTCAATTTGGCTCACATCTGGTGGGAACACCGGGTGAGCAGTGAGCCTGTTCAACACCCTGTTAATGGCGCGCGAAGAGGAAATGAACCGTTCAGCACCGTTATTTCACGAACCGGGCTTCGATGGTTGGACCACCTGTTGCGCATACCATCCCACTGGCTCCCGCGACGTACGTTGTTTTCGCGCCGGGGGTGTAGAAAGAGGATGAGAGGTGACCGAACGATGACTTGATCAGGAGGAACGAAAGCACTTAATTCAAAATTAGCCTCGGTTCGTGTCTCTCGTCTCCCAGGTTAGGGTCCACAAAGCGGTGAACAAGTTTGGTTGGATACGCTTACTAACTTGGCTGGGAGCCATTTGTGTTGTGATTTTCTTTGTCCTCCGTCCCGTTTGGCATTCCCTCCAATCCTGATCTCCTTTCCTAACATATTATCAATTTTACATCATGTAATTTTTTATGTCATATTACTTAAGGGTAGCTTTCCGGGACGCTGCCCATCTGTTACTGATAGCTCAGCTGGCCCTGCCACGGTTGTAGGTTACTTTTCCTACGTATTGCAACACAACAGCTGAGGTGTTTCCCACCTCTAGCTAACGTCTATAACGTTGGTATAATGACGAACATGTACCATTATGACTTAACATACTCCGTTGGCTTCTCATACTGTTATCGAACAGTTACTTTCGTCCATCGTGGAAATTTCTCCATCGTTTATATATAGGATGGGTTTTCTCTACGTTTTTTTGTCTTCACCGGTCTTTCGACTTTGTCTTCCTTCTTCAATTCTTCTTTGTCGTCCTTCTTCCTTGAAGGAAGTAAATTGCCTCACTGCCCATCACTGTGCTATTGTGCATTGATACCCTGAGATTCGTTTCTATGCTACTTTGTGTACTATTTTAGATTTCTGTTCCTATAGTCTTTCGCGGTCCAAACGGTGCAGCTCCCGGTGTGGCAGCGCAGCACACTCAGGATTACGCGTCGTGGTACGCCGGTTGTCCGGGCCTGAAAGTATTAGCTCCTTATAGCTCTGAAGATGCCCGTGGGCTTCTGAAATCTGCCATTCGTGACCCGGATCCAGGTACTAATTAGTGTTTTGAAGTGCACTTTTTGCTTTCCTGTAATGTCTTAATTAATTAACGCACTTGGTTCTGTTTCAGTTGTTAACCTGGAAAGCGAAATTCTGTATGGGCAAAGTTTCGACGTTTCAGACGAGGCGATGTCGGCCGACTTTCTGATTCCGATCGGGAAAGCGAAAATTGAACGCGAGGGTAACGTTTGTCGTCCAATATTGTGAAATATTCCGCTTCTCTGCTCACATTGAACACTATTCTCTGTGTCGTTTACATGTTAGGCAAAAAATTCTAGACTAGCACTCGCGGATCAATGCATTAAAGTTGCCCCTTAACTGAGTTGATCGAAGTATTTACTTTACTGCAACTTGGGAAAACTCAGATAGGCTGATGTGTAAAAAATCGGGACCACTTCTTTGAAAATTTTCTTTTTATCCAACCACAATTTCCTGGATCTGTGTACTGTTTTTTTGTCACAATGTAGTTCTGACCTAGTAAGAGTTTTTGTTCAGTTCGGTCCAGTGCGAAGAATCCCTTGGACTGGCCGGCTCCCTTCGGCTCCCTTCCCTCGGTCTTTAATACCGTGTATGCAGAGCCAGTGAGATTTATTCCCCTCTATGGGACAGAATTGGTCTATAAACCTTAAACACTTAGTATTTGGTCACCGTTACCTACTGATTATTGTTGTTGTCTGAACTAACCATCGTATTCACAACGATGGTGTGCGCGGATGTTGCCTACTGTTGCTCTCCTCTTAATTGCGGAGGTCTTGTTTTCTATCCCGACCACAGGACAGCACAGCCTCGAGGGCGATCAAGACTGAGTTTGTTTAAATAGGGGCTTCTCACGGCTATACTGAGTACCGTTAATCCGTGTGACCCACTTTGTGCTTTGTTTCTAACCTTACAGAGCATAACCAGCGTCCGGCATTATTGGTGCGTTCGCTGTCCTAGTCTACTGTTTGTCCAGGCAACTTGATCCACTGCACTTTTGTGCACAAATCAAAATGGATGAACTGAGCCTAGTTTGACTACCAGTTTAGGGGATATCTGACGCTCTTTGGTTCCCGGGTCATTGCTGTTCCACTGAACCATAGGTCATATTTGTGTGACAGCGAAGCGTTAGTCGACTTACTGTTTTACTGCTATTGATGATTATGGTCTGTGTGCACTGATTAAGATAATCGCCAGAGATACCTATGAAAGGAAAATGCAAGCAAGTCCTACAAATAGGGTTCTTCAAACGAAACGCCGAAATACCACTGCTTCGATCATAGTATCACTAGGTGACAATTGGTCATTGCTTGGCGAGGGAGCTAAATGGTCCTCATGACCGTGCTAGGCTCAGAGAGTGATTCCATGCATCCAGTGTGGAGTGGACTATGGCCTATCCACCGTCTGGTATGCATAATTCCCAAATTAGACTGACTGAAATGCTGCTGCTGTGCATGTCGAGGGAGTGTGAGCCAGCCCCGTTCATGAAACGTGGCTCCCATCCACATGCCTCCCGGTATTATTCCTTCCGGTTTACACTGGTATTTTGCAATCTATCGTTACGTAAGATAAAGTGGGACCCTCAATGTTGGACGTCATTCAGTCCCAAAACGCTCTTATGGAGGATGCTCCTGGGCCAGAGAGATGTCGTTCGTTCACTCTAGCGTTGTCAGTTGTCCACTCGGTTGAACCACAATTCGATTTATGGTTATTTCTATTGCAGAGTTGGAGAGGATGGAGTATACAAGGAAACTCTGGCACACCACACTTATCTTTGGGAACTTATTCTATCTCAGGAATCATGGCAAAGGGATTTAAGGATAGAAGGGAGTTTCCATGACGTGCTCTTTCGAGATACGTCGTGCTAAAAGCTGACACTCAGCAGACTCTAAGCGGCTTTCACATAGAATGAAACCGCACTGGTCGGTTGGCTGAATTTAAATCGCAGCTCCAACACTTTAACTATGTTAACAGTTACAATTCGTAAACCAGTGGAATATCAGTCGCGTCCACTGTCAATCACTTAGTCGGCATTCAGTGTGATCTGATATTTCTTTGCATTCCAGTGGGCTGCGGTTTCGATCGCCTCACCGGGTCGCTAGAATATGCATCACTGTGACTTTTTAGAGAACATGACCTTTCAGTAATTTTCCGAATTTTGATAGCCTTCCGACTGTTTAGGCTTTAGACCACTCTACGGCATCTTTTTAAAGCACTACATCCTTCACCAAGGAGAACCACTATCACCATATCAGTCGTCGACTATTTTACGATTTCCTCAACTGTTTCACATCTCCATTGTTTTCTTCACTCAGGCACTGACATTACCTTAGTGGCTTACTCGATATCAGTTGGGGTTTCTTTGACGGCCGCAGAAGAGTTAAAGAAAATGGGCATAAATGCGGAAGTGAGTTTGTTCTTCTACTCTTAGTTTGTAGCTCTGGTTTGCTAGACCATGTGTGACCGATGCTCATGGGCCAACGCTTAACGATAATGCACACCAACACTTCTATCACGATTAACTGCGTGATAACTGTTGACTGTAACTGGTTTTCTCAAGCACCTTACACTTCGGTGTCCAAATCAGGAGTGAACGTGTTGCTTTTCAGGCTTCTTCGTGTCCTGAAAAAGAACTGCCGATTCCGGTGCTGGTATTAAAACGTACATTGCTCACGGCTTTCTGTTCTCATACTGAATCCTGAAAATTGTAGTTAAGTCTATCCCAACCATTTTACCGCACTCCGCACTTCTGTTCACCTACATATTTTGTCCTCGCTTGTCCTTGCATCATCGTTGTCTATTTGTGCAGGTCATAAATCTACGCTCACTTCGACCACTGGACGACGAAACAATTTTCAACTCAGTGATGAAGACACATCACTTGGTCACTGTGGAAGCAGGCTGGCCAACTTGCGGAATTGGCGCCGAAATATGCGCACGAGTTAATGAGTGTATGTCTGTTTTTTTCGCCGAATTATACACCGCGTCATATTTACCCTAACAAATGCCAACTGATTGTCTTGTTCACTCCTGATTTACTTCCCTAGCGTCATTGTTGTGGCTGAGACCCTCGTGTACATTTAGTTGTGCGGCTGCCGCTACAATCGCACATCGGATTAGTACCAACGAGCATCTATAAGACTAGCTCGTCGGTCATCTTCCACCAGTACTTTGATATTTGTTGCAAGTTACTTCTCACTTACTCCGTCAGTTGACTTTGGTTTCATTTCTAACTAACCTTTACCAACCCGTGGCACGATATTTATCCTGGTGATTCAACTGACCTCCATCCGCAGAAAGCCCACCGGTCTAACGCATGGCGTTAACAAACGGGGCTTATAAGGGCTGATATATGTATTCTATTTGTCATTGGCTCCACTGATCTTTATATATATATATATATATATATATATATATATATATATATATATATATATATATATATATATATATATATATATATATATATATATATATATATATACTGACATATGGTCTACCCACTGCTGCTACGGTTGTGCCATTTGCTCATATCCTGGGCGCCTCGTGGCGACCGCTGGGTGGGAGTTGGATTTCGCCCTTCTCCCTGCTAAGATCCAGTGCACCAATCCGCATGAGTCAGTGAACTGACCATGTGCTAGACCCGCTGACTTTCGGGTGTACATTTAATCGAAGGCTTTGGCTGAGGACCCGAGTCGTTCTCCTGTCAGATGTGGGCGCCCTGGCAGTATCCTAGTCCATCCTCTTCGGAGGTTAGCAAGTGGTCGATGGTCCTCTTCCCGTAAAACCTATCCATGGGAGACAACAGGTCTACGGGTTATAAGCTCACAGCTTGATTGGCCTACAGCATGAGCACCAAGCATTGTCTCTGACGGTGGGAGGGTACCTCCCGGTGTTCAATGGTTTGCTACTGCCCGACTCAAGCCAGACAGTCCCTGGTCAAATTGGTGCAAACCCACCTGCGTCTGGCCGTGCTCGCAGCTGCGTGTTTTACTACGGTCGCAAAACATATATAAATCGTTCCAGAACCTCAAAGGCTGCGTGTGACGGCCGTCAAGCAGATCCCAATCTATCTCTGCAATCACATTCCCGAGCTGGATCTGCTCCCTACTGCCTTGTGGGTCAGGCTCTTGAGCCAAAGGCTCCGAGCGGAGTCCCTCAAGCGAACCTCCGAAGCACAACGACCACCTCGCGTGCGATTGCCCACCAATGCAATCGTAGGCCTTCGCGCAAAGCACTCAGCATCGGGTGCTGGAACGTGCGCACACTACTGGACCGGAACTCGAGTGAGCGTCCCGAGTGACGCACTGCACTGGTCGCGATGGAACTGGCGCGGTACAAAACAACGATATTGCATCGCTCAGTGAAACCCGGCTCGCTGAGCCAGGTAAGTTGCATGAAGCAGGTGCTGGCTACACATTCTACTGGGTGGGCAACGCCGCCTCAGCACCACGTGATCATGGGATCGGATTTGCAATATCCGATCGCCTCCATGGCCAGCTGGTGGGTGAACCAACAGGCATCAGCGCGCGACTGATGACTGTTCGCCTACAACTCGAAAGAAGTAAGTTTGCTACTTTTTTAAGCACGTACGGTCCGACTATGTGTTATCCTGATGACACGTGTGATCAATTCTACACTGAGCTATCCTCCGTGATACGGTCTGTGCCGAGGAGCGACCGACTATTTCTGCTGGGTGATTTCAACGCGCGCGTTGGGCGTGATGCATCGGTGTGGACAGTTGTGATCGGTCCGCATGGCGTTGGTTCAGCGAATGCGAACTGTGACAGGCTGCTTTCACTGTGTGCCACTCACGGCCTGACGATCACGAACACTCGGTTTGCACTGAGTGCGAGTGATATAGCAACTTGGACGCACCCACGGAGTGGTCACGCTCACCTGCTCGACTATGTCATTGTACGTCAGCGTGAAGTGCGTATGACACGTGTACTGCGTGGAGCTGAGTGTGGCACTGATCACACATCGGTGCGGACCAAACTGTACACATATTTTCGTAAATCTATGTATTGCACTCCCACCGTGAATCGACGTAAATTTAACATTCTCTCCCTCGGTACTGTAGCGAAACGTATTGAGCTGGAGAAGGCGATGGCTGCACGCCTGTGTGATGTGGAAGGCATAGCCACAGTGGGCGACCTGTGGTACCACAATCGTGATCAGGTGACAGCTGCTGCCGAGGAGACCATCGGGCGCGGAACTGTAAGCGGCCTGATTGGTTTCGTGAGAACAATGCGACGATTGGTGCATTGGTGTCGGAGAAGAATGCAGCATTTGCTGCACATGTCGCAGACCCCATTGACTTGGGGAAGAGTAGTCAGTTTCGCAAACTTCGACGGCGACTGATCCGAGAGCTCTGTCGCATAAGAAATGCATGGTGGACGGAGAAGGCGACGCAGATGGAATGCTACGCCGAACGCCGCTAACACAAGGAATTTTTTGACTGCTTGAAGGCGGTGTATGGACCGAGATTGGAGCCGCTGAGGACGCTGATCGATGGTAGTTCAGGCGCTACCTGCACACTGACTGCAGACATAATGCAGTTCTGGTGGAAACACTTTGACTGTCTCTTGAACAAGCGTTCAGAGATCGACTGGCCTACCTTGAACGGTCTGATGCAGCACGATGTGAAGTCGAGTCTTGCGGACACGCCGACATTGGATGTGACGCAGAGAGCACTTACTCAGCTGCGAAACGGCAAATGTGGCGGAGCTGACGGTATCCCGTCTGAAGTATTGAAACAGTGCGGACCCGCGTTAGTGACTGCGCTGCACCACTTGGTGCAACGCGTATGGATTGAGGAGGAGGTACCTGCTGAGCTGAAGGATGCCCTTGTGCTATCACTGTACAAGGGCAAAGGGAGCAAGCAGTTGCACGAATTATCGTGGTATCAACTTGCTGAGTTGTGTGGGCAAGGTGCTTACCCGAATCCTGCTCAACCGCCTCGTCAGTCAGGTTGTGGAACCGAACGTGGCGGAAGAGCAGTGTGGATTCCGTTCGGGTCGCAGCACTATAGATATGGTGTTTGCGGCTCGTCAGTTGCAGGAGAAGTGCAGAGAACGACACGAACCGTAGTACTCGCTTTTTGTTGATTTCACCAAGGCATTTGATACGGTGAACCGCGAGGCATTGTGGCTGGTGTTGGGTAAGTTGGTAAGTGTAATTGAATGTCTGCACAGTGGAATGCGAGCGAGGGTGCAGCTGAGTGGAGAGACCTCGGATGACTTTGCAGTTATCTCTGGTGTGAAGCAAGGCTGTTTCTTAGCTCCTGCCCTGTTTAATATCTATCTTCATGCCACTTGTGCTTACGGTGTTCGTGTGGAGCACCGTATTGATGGTGGGTTGTTGAATATCCGTCGTTTCGGTGCGACAACTCTAGTCTGTGAGACAACTATCCGTATGTTGCTGTTTGCTGACGACTGTGCGTTGTTTGCACACAGCGCGGATGAGTTTCCGCATATGACTAGTGCTCTGGCTTCGACAGCAGCCAAATTCGGGCTCACCATAAACACAAGCAAAACTGTCTGTCTCTTTCAGCCTTCACCGGAGGTGCAATCTTCAATATTGCCGCGAATCAGCATTGGTGCTGAAGTATTGGAAACCACCTCCCGCTTCTGCTACTATGGGAGTGTGATGTCGACTGATCAGCAGCTATACAATGAGCTGCGTATCCACGTATCGAAGGCAGCGGCGGCATTCGGGAAGCTTGAGTACCGAGTGTGGAACAACCATCAGCTTACCATTGGTACGAAGCTGATGTACAAATCCATGGTGCTGTCCGTTCTTTTATACGGCAGCGAAACGTGGACGATGTACCGTCGGGATGTGCGATATCTGGAGCGGTTCCATCAGCTGTGCTTGCGACGGATTTTGCGGATCGGTTGGGGCGACAGAGTGGCTGACACGGAAGTGTTGCGCCGAAGTGGGATGTATGCAGTGGACTGCATACTTTTACTGAGACATCTGTGGTGAATCGGTCATGTAAGCCGTATGGACTCGACGCGGATACTGCAACAACTCTTATATGGTCAGCTGAGTATAGGGAAGCGGCATGTGGGGAAACCAAAGTTACGTTACCAGGACATGATCAAAGTAAGCCTGTCACGTTCTAATCTTGATTACAGGTCATGGGAATCGAAGGCGGGTGATCGGCGTGCATGACGCGGTCTAATCACGAAGGCAGTTGCGGAAGTGCATGAGAAAGATCTCATACATGCAGAGACGAAGCGGCAAGTGCAGAAGCAGCAAGCACCGATGGGTTGTACTCCATCGACATCGAGCGCATGATGCTGTAGCACATGCGGTCGCGAGTGCCTGAGTCAGGCAGACCTAGTGAGCCATGAGCGAGGCCACTCGGGACCACTACCGTAGCGACGACGGGTCATGCTGAGAACGTAGGCAGAACCAGCGCAGCGTTTGTAGGCAGGCTGCGTTCGATTTACTAACCTCGTGCTTGCATGCTAAGTCTCTTTATTTCAGGTGGTGGGTTTTCAATTTTGTACTAATGCTTTTCTTTCTCAAATAAATGTCCACATGTACGCTCTTCTATAAACCTGCACAACTCGCCTAAGCCAATTGTAGTTAATTTCGATAACATTTTCGTGTTTGTGTCATTTCCGTAAAATATACTTTTGACCTCTTGAACTTATCCCGGATCCTTTGTTAACAACATCTCATATGCTCATTAATTTAAGATTTTTTTCACGTTACCTTATGCGTTATTCGATTTCTTTTCTTTGTTTGCTTTCTCTCAAGTGATTTGCTGTTGCTTGATATCCCCGGTGTGACTGCGCTTGATGTGCATGTTGACAAGGTGTCTACCTGTCTAATTACCCACTATCTCGTTCATACTGGCTCAGGAGACAGTTGGTCGTTGCTGGAGGGGACGGGGTGCACACTCCTTGTGGTCGTGCTAGGCTCAGAGAGCGGTTCCATGCACTCAGTGTGGAGCGGACTACGGTCCAGCCACCGCCTTGTGTGCGA